CCTGGCATTTATGAAGCCTGAGTTTGACTCCTCATTACCACATATAAAGCAAAAGCCAGAAGTAGTACTGTGGCTCAAGTGGTAGAGTGTTAGCTTTGAGCCAAAGAAGCTCAGGGACAGTGCCCGGGCCCTGAGTTCAAAAACTAAATAAAAAATAGTGCATCCTTACAAGATGCCCCAGCGACTCAAAAACTAAAGATGTGAACAAAGGCAAAATCCAGGGGAATGAGAGAACATTCTGGAAGATCACCAGCCCTGAAGGAGATGAGAAATCAAGACCAGAGGGCTGAGAGCAAATGAGAACCAAACAGCAAAGAGCAGATTATGGACTGTAGAACTGCCCCACACTGCTTTTATGTGCCAGCCAAGTGGTTTATAATCCCAAAGATGGGGTAATATTTCTGGATTCATGCACCCACAAACTATTGCCTTTCCCTACCTTTCCTGCCTATCGGTATCTCCTTTAAGGTAAAATAGTTTTCAGGTGCAGTTCAAGAGTATTGATAGCCTAATTATAGCTGTTTCCTAATTGACTCTAGCTTTACTTAATAGAAATGTAAATCTCACTAAGATCTTGAGTCCCAGAATGCAAACAAAAACCCCTTAAAATCCAGCAGAATTAAGAGGATCTCAGAGCATAGTGGACAGAATTTCAGATCTGATTTTTCCTATCTCCCCTGTATTTCTTAGAGAGCACTTTATAACTCATGCCTGATATGAATAAGGCCTTTTACTTTTTTTATTATAAACATTTAGCTTTAAAATGATTATAAGTGACAGTTAAGATCAACAGGAGCCAGAGCCTGTTCACGGACAAATTATCTGTATTTCAGACTAAATCAAAAGTAAACATTGTCTAAAGTCCCTTCAGTTTTGCATTCATCCTGTGGGAGCCAAAAGCCCACACAGGCCTTTGTGGGCTTACTTTCAGATGCATATTCTGTCCTAAAGCAATGTTCTCTTCAGTGTGTGTGTGTATGGGTGGGTGGGTGGGTGGGTGGGTGGGTGTGGGTGTGTGGGTGTGGGTGTGTGGGTACTAGGGCTTAAACTTAGGACTTCCCTGAGCTTTTTTGCTCTATCACTTGATCCATAACTCTACTCCCAGCTTTTTGCTGGTTAATTGGAGAGAAGAATCTCACCAGCTTTCCTGCCCAGGATGTCTTTGAGCCGTGATTCTCAGATCTCAGCCTCCTGAGTAGCTATGATTACAGACATAAGACACCCACCCCGTGCTCTACATGTATGAACCATTTCCACATCTGAGTTCTTGATTGTTCAGTTGTTTTTTTTTTTTTTTCTCCCTTAATGCCTCCATTCCATTAGGGAAGTCTTTTCAAAAGACTGAGGCTGTGTAGGTTTTTTGGTTTTTTTTTTTTATTTGTCAGGTTAGTGTTTTCCCAGATAACCATGTAAGAAAGGGACTGATCTAGTTACCCTTACTCTCTTTATTCATTTTTAGGAAATAGTAAATAATAGTAAATTCATATCACTTAATGCTCAGAATGATTACATATACTACAAAGTATTAGTAATGATTGAGCCATATTCCAGAATATGTACATTAGGATGTGTTCATGATCTGTTTAAACCAGCATATGCAGTAAGAGAGCCACATAGCAATAAAGCTGTTGTCACCAGCAACAGTGTCACTCATCCTTGAGGTCCTGAAAGCCTATTAGAGATTAGCTTTGGGGAGAGATGTCTCCTGACTTGTCAGTGGTTCTGAAAGGCAGTCAGTTTTAAACAAACACAGGCCCCTTTTGGAACCTCTCTAATAAACTCAGACACATTAATCTCTACACATGTCTCTAGTTAGGGTCTGACCCCTAACTCTTTCTACTCTAATGGAAGGAAGAAAGGGCCAACTGACACTAGCTAACAGGAGTTTGTGTAAAGGTTCAAAAGTGCTTATAATCAAATAAATACCCTTTCTTAAACTTGTGTTTTGGTTTCATCCCCTAAGACAAAAAAAAAATGTCTTCCTACTGTGACAGAGGGTGGTGGTATAATCTGTGTGCTCTTTAGCAGCAATCAGTTGATTGCAAGATGTGACTATAAGAAGCCAGAAAAGAAAGGAATTCTCTTCTGTTTGGCCTGGATGGTTTAGTCCTTGGACCAAACCCTGTTTTTGCCACTAACGAGTTTGTATGACCTCCAGCATCTCACTGGTCTGCCTGGGTCTTAATTTATGAGTGAAAGGAATCAGACCTTAACTGCCAACAATGAGAACTGGATTAGGAAGGCAATAAGGTGCTGAGAAGATCTTACCTGTGTATGAGCTAGTGATATTCCCAAAGAGCTTTTTTCCTGAGAAGAAAACAAAGTGTCCAAGGAAGTCATATCTGTAATATTAGTGATATTTTTGGTGTTATCAAAATAGAATACAGCAGGAGATTGTTTACTATTGTTGTTTGTTGTTTTTTTTACCAGTCCTGGGGCTTGAAGTCAGGGACTGGGCTTTTTTGCCCAAGACTGGTGCTCTACCACTTGAGCCACAGCTCCACCTCTGCCATTTTTGTTTTATCATTGGAGATAAGAGTCTCAGAGACTTTGCTGCCCAGGATGGCTTCAAGCCACAGTTCTCAGAACTCAGCCTTCTGAGTAGCTGGGATTACACGCACAAGGCTGTATGAGTGTACTAGGAACTCACCAGCTAGGCTTTGCAATGTGTACTTAGTTAGTGGCATGTCTTGAGGCTGCTGGATGAGATGGTGGGGTGAATGCAGGTGCTTACCACTCTCTTCATCCCTGGCTCTGGTTGGAAGGAAAGACGTGTGACAGAGAAAAACGTGTGAGGGGGAGACACCGGAGGCAAGCTCCGTCCTTTAACGGTGGCACACCACACTTCCTCTGAGTATTGTCTAGATCATACCAGATTAAAGGGAGACATTCAGCTGGGCGCCGGTGGCTCACGCCTGTAATCCTAGCTACTCAGGAGGCTGAGATCTGAGTGTTGTGGTTCAGAGCCAGCCCAGGCAGGAAAGTGTGAAACTCTTTATCTCCAATAAAGCACCAGAAAACCAGAAGTAGTGTTATAGCACAAGTGGTAGAGTGCTTGCCTTGAGCTGAAGAGCTGAGGGACAGTGCTCAGGCCCAGAGTTCAAGCCCCACGACTGACCCAAAAAAGGTGGGAAGACATTCAGTGGGACCAGACAACTTCGCTTCCTGAGAAAAAGCTTTTGGGGACCTCAAGCTCACACTTGTAATCTAGTTACTCAGGAGACTGAGATCTGAGAGGATCGTAGTTCAAAGTCAGCCCAGGCAACAAGTCCCTAAGACTTTGATCTCCAATTAACCAGTAGAAAGACAGAAGTAGATTTGTGGCTCAAGTGGTAGAGTGCCAGCCTTAAGTGGAAAAGCTAAGGAAGGGAGCCCAATCCCTGAGTTCAAGTCCTCGTACCAGCATGCATATATGTGCATAAACACACACACTCCTATGAAGAAAGTCACCTGGCTCCCTGGGTACAGCAAGAGAGAGCTGAGATGCAGTCATTGGAGCAAGAGTCTGTTGACACCCCAGATCTCACATCTTCATGATGTACGAAAAGAAAAAGTGAGGATTCCAGGCACATCAGCCAAGTACTCCGCTGCATCTCATCAGGTCCAACCGTGATCTGTGCCATCCTGGCACCGTGCCAAACCACCAGGGAAGCACACCGTGCAGCTTCACTCTAGGCCTGGGCATCGCTGAGCCATGGGGCCAGAGTAAATACAGGGGGCCCACTGAAGAATATTGGCGGTGCTGAGCTGGCCAGAGCCCTTAGAGAGGAACCTTTGTCGTCTTCAGAAAAATTTAAAACAAGGAGAATGAATACTTGGCAGCTTGTGTGCTCTGACTGCTCATTCGTGGTCCCTGGGTGTTTTGTGAGTCCCCCAGTTCTGGGAGGGGGAGGTAGAGTTAGCAAGTGCTAACGGATGGTAAGAACTGATTTACCACTGCACCTCTGGCTCCTCTGTAACATTCCCTGTCTCTGTGACTAGCCTGTCTTCACAGTGATTTGTGCAGACCTGGTCAGTCCCTGCTTGTTTTTGGGAGTCTGGTCCTACAGCCAGCCCCTGTGGTGTTCTTGGACTTTAGAACAATGTCAGAAAAGCAGTTTGTTTATCCCCGTCCTGGGGACTTGAGGGCCTGGGTACTGTCCCTGAGCTCTTTTGCTCAAAGATAGCGCTCTACCACTTTGAGCCACAGCACCACTTCTGGTTAATTGGCAATAAGAGTCTCACGGACTTTCCTGCCCAGACTGGCTTTGAACTGCAATCCTCAGATCTCAGCCTCCTGAGTAACTAGGATAATAGGTATGAGCCTCCAGTGCCCAGCCAGGGGTTTCTTTGTATATGTGTGTGCGTGTGTGCATGCACGTGTGCATGTGTCAGTACTGGGGCTTGAATTCAAGCCCTGAGTGCTCTTCCTTGGCTTTTTCACTCAAGGCTGGCACTCTGCCACTTGATCCACACTTCCAGCTTTTTTCTGGTTAATTGGAGATAAGAGTCTCATAGATTTTCCTGCCCAGGGCTGGCTTTCTAAACCTTGATCCTCAGATCTCAGCCTCCTGATTAGCTAGGATCACAGGCGTGTGGCCCACTTCAGGTTTTAGATGCCACATGCTCTCCTGATGAAGATACCTTTGTGTATATCCAGAAAAGGAGATTGCAGTGATTTGGATCGCTTGAGTCCCCAAAACTCTCAAAGACTCTGCAAGTTTGCCAGACCTAGGCACTAAACAGACTCGGCCTCTCAGAACCACCAAGTGTAGGGGGAGGGAGGTGGCGGCATTGCCCCAGGCTTCCTCCAGCAACCTGGTCTCCCAAGGGGGAGAAAAGGGAAGCCACCGGCCACTTGGTGGGGAAGACTGCATTTGTCCCTTGGAGTCTCTTGTTACCTCATGACACCGCTCAGATGGCTTGCTTTTAACGGTCTGCTTGTCTCATTCCATTCAACCTATAAAAATGCTAACATCCTTTGACTCGATTTTGCTCAGAGTTGAATGTCTCTCTGGCAGGTCCTACGGCATATTTGACAGTAATCGCCAGGATCCCACGGGGCTCACAGCAGCACTGCAGGCCACAGACCTGGCTGGAGTGCTCCACATGCTCTACTGCGTGCTCTTCCACGGTGCCTCTGCCGACCCCAGCACTGCTAGTCCGAAGGAGAATTACACACAGAACACCATCCAGGTCGCCATTCAGAGTCTACGATTCTTCAATAGCTTTGCGGTTCTTGATCTGTCTGCTTTCCAGGTATCAAGATCTGCTTTGTGTTGGTGTTAACTAACCAGAGGTTAACATTTTATCATTGTTTGGTTTGTTGTGATTGTTTTTGTGTCATTTCTGGGGCTTGAACTCAAGGCTTATATGCTGTCCCTGAGCTTTTTATATGCAAGGCTGGTGCTCTACCCCTTGAGCCACAGTTCTGTTTTTGGCTTTTTTGGTGGTTTCATTGGAGATAGGAGTCTCACAGACTTTCCTGCCTGGGCTGGCTTTAAACTGCGATCCTCAAATCTCAGCCTCCTGAGCAGCTGGGATTACAGACATGAGCCCCTGACACCATCAACTTTTAAATAGTAAGCAGACTAATGATTTCTTATATAAGCAGAATCAAAAGTAGATAAGTTATTTTGATGTAACTTTCTAAGAGTGATTTAACTGATTTGTCTCCAATGTGAAGTGCATGTATACTTAAATGTACAAAACCCTATAAATTAAGTTTTTATAGCTAAAGAAAGAAAAGATTGCTTTATACTGTAACCTCAGACTGTAGACTTAGAAACAGACTTTTTTTTTCATGTAGGCAATTTAATTTTTAAAGACACTGAACCTTTGGAACAGAGCAATCCCAAGGAGTAGACTTTCTCTCTCCATTTATTAACTGTCAAATGATTTCATTAAAACAGGAAAAAAAACTTGGCAGATGATGAACCCATCATTTAGATGAATTACTGTGCTGAGAGGGAAAATGGTTATATAGAGATGGAAGTATATGAAAATAGTGATATTTGCCATTGTGAGATGGAAGGAACACTTCTGCTTTATAGCTCATGACAAATGTGTGATTAGTTTCTGAGGTTTTTCTCACTGATTGTCAGGGTGCTCTCACTGACTGAGCCATTCCTCCAAACCTGGGGGGGCTGGGGGTCCCAGTACTAAGGCTTGAACTTAGGCCTGAATAACTGGTGCTTATCACTTGAGCCACAGCTCCACTACTGGCTTTTTGGTGGTTAACTGGAAATGGGAGTCTCACGGATTCTTCTGCTCAGGCTGGCTTTGAACTGTGATCGTCAGATCTCAGCCTCCTGCATTGTTAGTATTACAGGCATGAACCACACAACAAATATATGATTCCTTAATAAATGTCTTCCCTGTCATTCTTTCAAAGAAGAGACTTAGTGAGTTGTAGTACTGATACTAGTATCTTGTCCATTAATTTTTCCATCACAAGAACAGAAATTCCTTTTAAGGTTCCAAAGCACTTTATCAGTCTTTTTTTTTTTTTTTTTTTTTTTGGGTCCGGTTGTGGGGCCTGAACTCTGGGCCTGGGCACTGTCCCTCAGCTCTTCAGCTCAAGGCTAGCGCTCTACCACTTGAGCCACAGCGCCACTTCCGGCTTTTTTCTGTTTGCTTATGTGGTGCTGAGGAATCGAACCCAGGGTCTTGAGCATGCAAGGCAAGCGCTCTACCACTGAGCCACCTTCCCAGCCCCACTTTATCAGTCTTAAGTGCTAACTGCAAGGCAAGAGTTATAGTAGTTTACAGCCATACCAGAAATGATTGCTACTTGTTCCAGAAGATTCCAGTGTATTAAATATAACATTCATGTTTTATGAGGAGTCAAGCCTGTGTGACCTGTCCCACTGGCGCCGGTGGCTCATACCTGTCATCCTAGGTACTCAGGAGGCTGAGATCTGAGGATCACAGTTCAAAGCCAGCCCAGGCAGGAAAGTCCATGAGACTCTTATCTCTAATAAACAACTCACAAAAACAGAAGTGGCGCTGTGGCTCAAGTGGTAGAGCGCTAGCCTTGAGCTGAAGAGCTGAGGGACGGCACCCAGGCCCAGAGTTCAAGTTCCACTACCAACAAAAAAGAAAAAAAAAAGAAAAGAAAATAGGAGACCCTAAAAAAAAGCAAGTATCTGGGCCCACCACCAGTGACTCACACCTGTAATAATCCTGACTACACATGAAGCTGGAATCTGAGGATCTCAGTTCAAAGCCAGCCCAAGTAGGAAAGTCCTTAAGAAAATTATCTCCAGGCTGGAAATGTGGCTTAGTAGTAGAGTGCTTACTCAGCATGCATGAAACCCTGGGTTCGATTCCTCAATACCCATACACAGAAAAGGCCAGAAGTGGTGCTATGGCTCCAGTGGTAGAGTGCTAACCTTGAGCAAAAGGAGCTCAGGGACAGTGCCCAGGCCCTGAGTTCAAGCCCCAGGACTGGCCAAAAAGAAAAAGGAAAGGAAAAAAGAAAAGTATCTCCAGTTAGAGAAAAAAAACTGGAAATGGAGCTGTGGCTCAAGTGGTTGAGCCACTAGCCTTGAACAAAAGAAGCTCAGAAGCAGCACCCCAACCCTGAGTTCAGGCCCCGACATTGGCTTAAAAAGGAGATTTCAGGAACTGTGCAAATGTCAGCAAGAGAGATTTCAGGTGGAAGGAAGGAGGAGGGTATGCATTTCAGCATGGGTAGCCTCCTGGACAACCCAGAGCCTCAAAAGGAAGAAGAAACTGGAATGTAGGGAAGGCGTGGCTTGCTGAACAGCGAGTTGCACACGTTGATGGCCAGGGGACCATCAACTGCATGGGAAGACGTGCTCAGTGCTCCCCACATCCCTGGTTCTGAAACCAGAACAACCTGCCTGAGCAATCACACTGTCACTTTTAATTGTGTCATTTTGGACAAATCATTTACACTTAGGATTCAGTATTCCAGGCCGGTGGTACATGCCTGTAATCCTAGCTGTTCAGGAGACTGAGATCTGAGGATCACAGTTCGAAGTCAGCCTGAGCAGGAGAGTCTCTGAGACTCTCCACTAAATTAAAAAAAAAAAAAAAAGGAAGTGGAGCTGTGACTCAAGTGGTAGAGCATGTGCATGAGCCCAGAAGCCCAGGGACAGCATGCAGGCTCTGAGTTCATGCTCTAGAACCAGCAAAAAAAGAGAGAGAGAAAGGAGATTGCTTGCCTGAATCTGGCAGATATCCATCCAGAAAGTTGGGGACAGAACATTGCATTCCAGGGCTGTCCCCACTCCTTGGATCCCACAAACCTCCCACAGAAGTAGGAGCCCTCCTATACCAGTAGTCCCCCACCATGGAACTTGTTAGCTGCTTCTGTGTCCTTTGCTCGCTGGAAAGGCTGGGAGGTGCCCTTCAGTGAGCGCTGGCCCCAGCCCTGGCGGCACAGATGGCCTGGGCTCAGGGCTCCCGCGTATTGTCTTCACTTTGACACTTGCTACAATTGAAGGTAGTCTCGAGAAACAAATCAACGTACTGACTTGGCCATTAATTCTGGCTCAAAAGGAAATATAGTTTCCTTGAAAAATTGGTTTCATTTTTTATATTCAAACTTCCATGCCCCTTGACCTGCTCTTATCGGTGAAGGTCAAACGGATCACTGGGTCACTGCACACTGGACTTGACTAATTAAATAAGGGCTGAGCTGAAAAGGTGTCACTGGTTGATTTAAAGGAGCAGAGCCCTCCCGAAGTCTCTTTGGGGATCAAAAAAACATTGTGTGTGCACATGTGCGTGCGTGTGCGTGTGCGTGTGCGTGTGTGTGTGTGTGTTGGAGCAATGAAGCTGAGTCCCAAACCCTTTTAAAATTCAGGAGTTATTTGCTAGGGCAGTGAGTTCACTGAAACTTCCAAACTGCAGCTGGTGTGGCCTGCTTCAACATCAAATCAAGCCACCAAGTGAAATCCAGAGATGCATTTGAAGCATGGCCTTTCCCACAGGCCACAGCCACAGCATGCACGCCTCATTCCAGCGTGGGCCAGGAGCGCACGCTGTGGGCTCTGCGCTCCCCTTTGCCCTCTTGTCGCTCTGTCTGTTTGACATGTTTATTAAATAGAAGCTTCAGGCTGCAAAGCAGACCCAGACTCCCGAGTCGCCCACCACCCACAGCCCTTGGCCTGTCTGGAGAAAAGATCCCAGAAGCCCCATAACAGAGGGGCTCCCTGGTTCAGGGCAGGGAAGGAGGGGAGGAATTATTGTTGTTGTTGTTGTTTTATACATTATTTTATACATTATTTTATACATTATTTGGGGAGACCAGTTTATGGAGCTGTTTGACTAATAATTAGTAGTTATAATCCTTTTCTGTTTGACCATAATAACTGATTAGAAATACACATGCATCTCCATGTACAGGAAATATTTTCTCCAAGGTAATGAAAAGTGTTGGAAGTAAGCAGAGTGTACATTTAGAGGTAGATTTTAACATTTTTATGCCTTTCTACACTTTCCACAATGAGATTCTGTATATAAGAAAAGAATAGGGCTGGGAGGGTGGCTCAGTGGTAGAGCGCTTGCCTTGCATGCCTGAGGCCCTGGGTTCGATTCCTCAGCACCACATAAGCAGAAAAAGCCAGAAGTGGTGCTGTGGCTCAAGTGGTAGAGCGCTAGCCTTCAGCTGAAGAGCTGAGGGACAGTACCCAGGCCCAGAGTTCAGGCCCCACAACCGGACAAAAAAAAAGAAAAGAATAGGAGCCAGGCGCCAGTGGCTCACACCTAGGATTATAGGAGGCTGAGATATGAGGATTGAGGTTCAAAGCCAGCCCAGACAGGAAACTCTGTGAGACTCTTATCTCCAGTTAACCACCAGAAAACGGAGGTGGTACTGTGGCTCAAGTGGTAGAGCATTTGCCTTGAGCTGAAGAGATCAGAGACAGCACCCAGACCCAGAGTTCAAGCCCCACGACTGACAAAAAAAAAAGAAAAGAATGGGCTATTAAAAATGAAATAGAGGGAAAAAAATGAAATAGAGGGCTGCATACTGGTGGCTCATGCCTATAAATCCTAGCTACGCATGAGGTTGAGATCTGAGGGTCAAGGTTTCTTTCAATCCAGCCAGGGCAGGAAAGTCCATGAGACTTTTATCTCCATTTAACCCACTGGAAGTTGGAAGTGGAACTATGTCTTGGGTAGTAAGGCATGAGCCTTGAGTGAAAAAGCTAAGGGAAAGCTCCCTGAGTTCAAGCCCTAGGAAAGGAAGGAGGAAGAAGCAGAGGGAGGAAGGGAGGACATTGATTAAGGTGCATTGTGCTAATTAATGTGTTAAATTGAAACCCCTTTGAACAACTACCTAATTTTTTGAGATGGAATGAGTAACCATGTAGATAGTATCTCTACCCATGTAGTGGAAGCATGTGGTCTGCTCTGCTTTGTTTTCTGTCCCTCTTTCAGATTAAACATTGCATTTATCAGGTTCATTCCCTGGCACAGGAACCACTGAACTGACTGATGTGTCACCGGCTACGGTCTTGTGTGGGATTCACAGCCCAGGCTCTCTGGGCTGGGGAGTTGTAACAGCAGATTGTCTTTGTCAGTCTATTGTAGGGGCTGAGGGCTTGTCCCTTGCCTTCAGGCACATGGCCAGCTCCCTGCTGGGCCACTGCAGCCAGGTCTCCTGCGAGAGCCTCCTTCACGAAGTCATCGTCTGTGTGGGCTACTTCACCGTCAACCACCCAGATAACCAGGTAAGAGGCCCACAAAGCACTGCTCTGTGAGTGGGATGGACTCCAGGCAGACTAGCCTGCTGAAATCCATCCAAACAGCCTTTGGCAGGAAAGGTTCCCCACCCCTGTACTTACAACTATAAAAATAACATCTTTTTAATATTCTTAGCCACATAAAAGCTTGTGATCCTTACAGTATCCATCCTTCAACATCTCCCTCACCACAGATTCTGATGCAGTCTTGCTTTGTTTTGTTTTGTGTTTTTCCAGTAATGGGGCTTGAACTCAGGCCCTGGGCACTGTCCCATAGCTTTTTTTGCAGAAAGCGAGCACTAACCACTTGAGTAACTGCTCCACTTCTGGCTTTTTGGTGATTAAAAGTCCATAAGATAAGAGTCTCTCATGCCAGGTGCCAGTGGCTCATGCCTGTAATCCTAGCTACTCAGGAAGCTGAGATCTGAAGATTACAGTTCAAAGCCAGCCCAGCCAGGAAAATCCGTGAGACTTATCTCCAACACACCGGGAAACCAGAAGCGGCACTGTGACTTTAGTGGTAGAGTGCTCGCCTTGAGCCGAAGAGCTCAGGGACAGCACCCAGGCCCAGAGTTCAAGCCCCATGACACCAAAACAACAACAACAACAAAAACAGTTTCTTTGTATTTTAGCTTGGGTTGCTTTTCAAAATATAACAGAATCTGGTACTGTATGAAGCCAGTCTTGCTCCTGGCTCCTGCCTAGGGGTCTAGAAGCTTCCACATGGTGTAAGAAGGGAGACCAAGGACAGGATGTGGGCCTGTCCTCTGTAAGCTACTCACATACTTTTGCCTTTGATTGCTTTACTTGGTTTCTCAGCAAGATTTCGTAAATAGATAGGATTCTGCTGCTTTATGAAATTGGGAAATGTGCTACAAACTTTGGCAAACAAAGGTAAAGAACATTATTTACTTATTTACTTTTGTTCGAGACTGGGACTCGAACTCCATATCTGACACTTTTGCTCATTGGCAGGTGATCTACACCAACCCGAGCCTCGATCATAGATTGTAGTTCACAAAGAGGTCTCTGAACAACCCGTTTGTGCTCACTCATGCTTCCTGGCTTTTGTTTTTGGCAAACCTCAGACAAGTGTACCACACAGTAGAGCAGTGTACGAGGAGAGAAGAGAGAGGTTGGGGCCATCAAAGCCAAGTCCCAGGCAAGAAACTGCTGCACACTAAGAGCGGGCACACTGAGCCCAGAATGCATGATTGCAGCCTTCTAGATTCTCAGAGACACTACAACCTGCATTTTGGTTTATTTCCTACATTAGTGTTGATGCGGACCCTCAGTAAGCGTAGGAGCAAAATATGCACTCACTAGAAAAAGGTCGAGTATGCCAGGCACTGGTGACTCACACCTGTATTCCTGGTTACTCAGAAGGCTGAGATCGGAAGATGGAGGTTCAAAGCCAGTCTGGCCAGGGAAGTTTGTGAAACTCTTATCTCTAATTAACTAGCAAAATAAGAGCTGAAAGTGAAGGTATGGCTCAAGTGGTAGAGTACCTTGCCAGGCAGCGCGCACGCACGCACGCACGCACACACACACACACACACACACACACCCTGAGAAATATGCACTTGGTTTTAGAGGGGCATCCCATGATTAAAATATAGCTGGGCACTGGTGGGGCTCACGCCTATAATCCTAGCTACTCAAGAGGCTGAGATCTGAGGATCACGGTTCAAAACCAGCCTAGACAGGAAACTCCATGAGATGCTTATTTCCTTAATAAACTAGAAAACCAGAAGAGGCGCCATGGCCCAAATGGTAGAGCATTTGCCTTGAGTTCAAGAGCCCAGGCCCAGAGTTCAAGCTGCCTCAGAGGTGGGCTTGGTGGCTCATACCTATAATCCTAGCTATTCCGGAGAAGAGCTAAGAATCTTAAGTTCAAAGCCAGCCTGGGCAGGAAAGTTCCTGAGACTCTGATCTCTAGCTACCCAGGAAAAAGCTGGAAGGGAGGTATGGCTCCCAGAAAAAGCTCAGTGAGAATGCAAAGACCCAAGTTCAAGTCCCAGTTTTGTCACAGAAGAAAAGAGGGAAGGGAAGGAAAGGGATGAAAGAAAGAGAGGAATGAAAGAAAGGGAGGGAGAGAGGGAAGGAGGAAAAGAGGGAAGGAAGGGGAAGGAAGAAAGCTGTCCAGCTGAGGGAAATCGCCTATCCAGATCTTCTTCTTCATATACATCCATTCAGTCTACTAAATGTCTTTTTATTTTCCTTTTTCTGATTGCAAAAACCTTCCCTATAGATCACGAGAAGAGCAGGGCAGGTGCAAGGAATAAAGTCAGTTGATGGTTATTCCTGATCTCACCATCTGCAAGAGTCACTGGCAGCTTTCCCCCCATGTCCTTAGTGGAAAAAAAAAATACATATTTGATTTTCTTTTTTTTTTTGTCGGTTGTGGGGCTTGAACTCTGGGTCTGAGCGCTCTTCAGCTCAAGGCTAGCGCTCTACCACTTGAGCTACAATGCCATTTCCAAAAAATGCATATTTGAAGATATTCCCTGCCCTGCTTTCTACCCATCTCACTATGCCAGAATCACACGCTGGGAATTTTTTTTGTAATGGCTGCCTGGCTTTATCTCCTGTGGACGTTCATGGTTTACCTAACAATTTCCTGTTTGATACTTAAGTGGTTTTCTCTATATATCATGACACCCTGCTCTTCTGAGAAAGTGCTGAGTAATTTGTGTGTGAGATACTATTTGGCTGTGTGTAGTCCCACAGTAAAAAGTGCCACTATTTCAGCACATTTTCAGTCGAGGATAGTTTGAAACTTTCTGCATAAACATGGTGATAAGCTACAGCTCGTACGGGGATTTCAGAGATGTTCCCGCAGATATCAGATCACAGCTGAATTCTCTCCGTTCGAAAGAATAAACACTTCTCAGCGAATCTGCTGGCCAGAGTGCAAGCCACTGCGATAGGACTCGTATTTGATGATGGTGCGTTAGACCTGAGGTGGCCAGGGAAAGTGGTAGCCAGGTATATTGGAATGAGAAAAGAAACAAAAAGAGAGGGAGACAGAGAGAAATGAGAGGGAGGGAGGGAAGGGAAAGGGGGAAGAAGGGATTGGGGAAGAGGAAGGAGAAAGAGGGAGGGAGGGGGAATAGGAGGAAGGAAAATAGCAAGGAAGGAAGAGAAGACCAAGAGCCCAGAGCTTGTCGATCAGGGAAGAAGAGGGATCACTGAGATCTGGGCATCATAGCTGAGAGCTGAGCTCACTTGAAAAAAAGCCAGTCCTGGTGTTTCAATCCCTTGGCACCCAGAATGCTCTGCTTGGGTGGGGGTGGGGGGTGCAGGGGCAAAAAATGTCAATTCCACTCTGAGGCAGTGCAGCAATCTTTGTTAAAAAGTAAAGAATGCTGAGCACCGGTGGCTCATGCCTATAATCCTAGCTACTCAGGAGGCTGAGATCTGAGGATCGAGGTTCAAAGCCAGCCTAGGCAGGAAAGTCTGTGAGACTCTTACCTCCAATAAACCACCAAAAAACTGGAAGTGGCACTGTGGCTCAAGTGGTAGAGCGCTAGCCTTGAGCTGAAGAGCAGAGGGACAGAGCCCAGGCCCAGAGTTCAAGCTCCATGACTGACCAAAATAAAAGAGAGAGAGAGAGAGAAGCCAGGTATGGCTCCCACTTATCCTCCCAGCTACTCAGAAGCTGAGTCCTGAGGATCCAGGTTAGAAGTCAGCCCAGGTAGGAAAGTCCTTGAAACTCTTGTGTCTAGTTAATCAGCAAAAAAAGCCAGAAGTGGAACTGTAGCTCAAATAGAGTTCCAGCTTTGAGTGAAAAGCAAATGGATAGTGCCAGTACAGGAACCAAAAAAGAAAACAATCAACAGATAGGAGAGGGATGGAGAAAGGATTACTGCAAGCCCTGTGCCTGAGCCAGACACACCAGTGTGCTCCCAGGTGGGGACCCGTACCCCTCTTTTCAGACCTTCCTAACTGTACCCCAGATCTTTCTGAGCACCAGACAGCTTAACTAGCAGCCTGGCCACTTTGTGGCAGCTTCGCATTAAACACGTAATATTCCTTGGCTCCTTTGAACAGAGGAGGACTCCCCCAAACAGAAGGGGACACTCACAGAGATTTCTGGCAGGTGGGTTGTCAGGTACCTTGCTCTGTGAGGTCCTCTGCAGCTTCTGTTCTAGAAGCCTGTGCTCCCTGCTCAGGCCGGGCCCCCACCTTGAGGTCCTCCGCAGCTTCTGTTCTAGAAGCCTGTGCTCCCTGCTCAGGCCGGGCCCCCACCAGGTCCAGCCCTGTGCAGCTCGGGCTGCTGCGCCGTGCAGCTCGGCAGGCAAGCCTCAAGTTGCTAAGGTAGTCACTGCTGCTGCATCCAGGAGAGCTAAGAACGTTTGAACAATTAACAAGCCAATATTTTTGTTTTCATTTTATTAAAGGCCCTTTTTACAACCCCATTCCACCACCAACAACTACCCCCCCAAAAAAAAATTAGTGGTTTGCTAAGCAAGCATTGGCTTGGGAGGTACAGTTGGTTTGTATTTGGGTTTTAGTTGAGGGACTGTGTGTGTGTGTGCGCGCGCGCACGCGTGCATGTGCGTGCCCATCCTAGGGCTTGACCTCAAGGCCTGGGCACTGTCCCTGAGTTTTGTGCCCAAGGCTAAAGCTCTACCACTTAAGCCACAGCTCCACTTCCGCCTTTTTTTTTTTTTTTGTAGTTAATTGGAGATAAGAGCCTTTCCTGCCAGGGCTGGCTTCAAACCTTGATCCTCCTGAGAGGCTAGGATTCCAGGTGTGAGCCACCAGCACCCAGCTGGAGGTACAGTTGTAAGCTCTGGCTCCAGCTTCTACCCCAGATTCCTGGAGCCTTCCGTCCTGTACTGGTGGGCATCTGGCAGAGCTCGGCCTCACTGGCTGGCTGCCCGTGAGGGCCCCTTCCCCCACTCCCGTTCCCCTGGGAAGGGAATTTATTTCACCCGATGGCACCTCTCACCGTCAGAGGGAGAAATTATGACGCCCGGTTC